AAAGAAAGAAAAGAAAAGGTGGAATGATGGCTGCCCGGGGTTAGGGAAAGAAGGAGGAAGAAGTGGTAGGTAGGGGGCATCGTTTCAGTTTTGCCAGCTGAAAAGACTTGAAGGTTTGGTATACAACAGTATGAAATGTACTTAATTTAGCACTTAAAAACACACTTAAAAATGGCTAATATGGCAAATTTTATGTTACTTGTATTTTACTAGAATTAAAATATACATGATTTAAAAATTGTATGATCAAGATGGTCACTATTTAAAATTTCCCCTCACCTAATATTAGTTCTACTGAGAAAAAAATCGTCCCAGTGCAACGCATGGACTACCGCAGCCACTCCGCATGGCTGGGCGTCTCCCAGACTGCCCGAAAACGCATCCATATTGCAAAAGATTGCCCACAGGAGCCCACACCTCCAAAACAAATCTTGCAATGAAATTAGGTTCATTCTAAGTCACTAAAGAAAATAAACAAAATATAAATAAACAGCATAGCACTGGTGAATTTTTACTACCGTTTCTTTCATTTTCACTTCTGTTTTACCTAACCAAGCAGGAGCTTACTAACAAAGTACTCTGTCATTTCAGAGAAGAAAAACCTCTGGTCTTGGTGATCATAAGAAAGCCAACTAAGAACAAGAGAAGGCAAAGCCTACCAGTAACTGCACAAGTGAGTGCACACAGGCAAAGCAGCCGCCTTCCACCACACCTCTGTCAGCTGTTGTCACATGACAGAACTTCTCAGAGTAACATACTTAAGCCACACACTCATTTTCATCACTGCTATAAATTATATACCATAAAAGTCACTCTTTTAAAATGTATAATTTGATGGCTGGTAGCACATTGGTATGGCTTGTGTCCAGTTGTTCCCCCAGAGCCTCATGGAGGCATGGGGCAGACTTCTAGAGGCTGGGATTAATTCATGATCCAGTGCTGGGATTGTGGGTTGAGTGCTACAGCTGCACTGAGGCAGACACAGCCTGCAAGCAGTATAAGGAAGCGGGAGAGGCTTGCCCTCTGCCTTTGCTGCTGTCGCTGCCACTGCTCCTGCGTTTCTGCTCTTGCTGTTTTGCTGTTTTCTGCCACCATGAGCTGCTGCCCTCTGCCATGTGCCGCTCTGCCTTGGAGCCAGCTGAGTATGGACCGAAACCTCCACAAACTGTGAGCTAAAATAAACCTTTCCTTTCTTACTTCTGGGTGTCAGGTATTTTGTCCCAGCAACAGGAGAACACTAATCAAGACACACATCCACAAGTTGTGAAACTATCACACTATCTCACCCAAAACAGTTCCATCACCCAGAAAGAAATGCATCTTTTATAGCAGTCGCTACCTCCAAATCCTGCCAACCACTAAGGTTTTTTTTTTTTTTTTTTTTTTTTGCGGGGGGGGGGGATAGATTTGCTTCTCTGGACATTTCATATAAATGGAATTATGTATGAACTTTGGTGCTGGCTTCTTTCATGTCTTTAAATTTCATCTACTATATACAATACATATTGTTTCTTCAACAGCTGATAGAGACAAGCTCTACTTTTTCGGCTTTTATGAGTGGTACAAATTTTACATGGATATATGCTTTTGAGTCTCTTGGAGTCAAATTGCCAAGTCATATAATTTTACATCTAACATTTTTTTTTCTTTGTAGTCCAGACTGACCTTCTCCTACCTCATCCTCACAAATGCTAAGATTACAGGCATACACTACCACACCCAGCCACACCTAACTTTCAGAGAAACTATTAAATTATTTTCCAGGGTGGTTATACTATTGTACATGTGCACCAGAACAGCACTCCCTCAGAAGACCCTGCAATCCTCACCAACACTGGTACAGTGCATCTTTTTGACTACTAAGATGCTATTAAGTATCAGTGGTATCTCACTGTGGTTTTTGTTTTGTTTTGCTTTGCTTTTTGGAGACAGAGTCTTGGTATGTAGTTCAGGCAAGACTTAAACCCCTATGTCACCTAGGCTGGCCTTAAACACACAAAGACCCTCCTGTCTCAGCCTTCTGAGTGCTGGGATTATAAGCATGAAGTACCACGCCTGGGTCTCACTACTTTTAATCTGTATAACTTTATTTAAATTCTTTGCCTAGTTCTTCAGTGGGTTGTCTTCCATCCCCCAGTACTAAGGACTGAATCTAAGGCCTTCACGCATTTCCAGACTTTTTTGTTAATTTTTTTGAGTCAGTTCTCTAAGTTATTAAATTTCCCAGGCTACTCTGTAACTTGTGAGCTTTTTACCTCTGCCTACCAGAGTACTGAAATTATAAACATATGCCATCATGCCTGGCTACTGGGTGGTCTTTTTATTGGTTAGTTACAAAATTCCTTTATGTATTCTGGATAAAGCCCCTCCTTAGATATATGACTGGCAAATATTTTCTCCCCTTCCAGGCTAGCTGTTTCACTTTCCTGATAATGGCTGGTTATTTGGTTTGAGACAGGGTCTCAACTCTGCAGTTCAGCTGGCCTTGAACACACTACGTAGCCAGGCTGGCCTCCAACTCCTAGCCATCCCTCTGTTCAGCCTCCACAGTGCCGCAATTGTAGCTGCGCACCTCCACACCCAGCCTTGATGGTGTTCTTTGAAGCACAACAGTGTTTAATTTTGGTCACTGTCCAACTTATCTATTTTTCCCTCCACTGCCTGTGCTTTTGTTTTCATGTCGAAGAAAACCCTATCTTTAATCCATATCAACAGGAATGAATTAGAAAATCACTGGTAGAAAATTAAGAGTCAAAGTGAGAAAACAAACTGAGAACTCAAATTCAGAATCAATTTTCTTGCCAAGAAGCCATATTATATAAAACATATACTAAAGCACCAACTAGTAGGTGCCCTGACGACGCACCTGTCCAGTCTGAATGGCCTTCATACTAAGCAGGGAAAAGGAAAAGCGTACGCAATGCTCTCCAGTCACTACAGCAAGGCCAACTTCGGGTGTTTTAGGGTTTTTATCTTCAAATTTATGAAATCTGTTTAGACATTAACTTGCTTTCTGAAGAAAACACTTACCTGCTAAGTAATTCTAGTCCAGCAGAGTGCTTTGGCAAGTATGAAACAGTCCTGCCGAAAGAAACATTTTGTTAAAACTGTTTCTAATTTAGCCAAATTAAAAAAGGTTACATAGCAGAATGCTGTCATCCGCAATTGTAAGATACTGTCATCCCCATTGTAACAACTAGTGACAATTTATCTAAACTTTTAGAAAAATGTATTATTTCTGAGTTAATAAGCTGCAGTATTCCATCTGTCCCCTTGTCCGGCAGACTTATATTTTTAGCACACTAATAAGAAAAGCATTTTAGCACCATGCTAAATAAAGAGAACATACATGACCCACACATTCCACCTCGGGGTTAAAAGTGAAATTTGATCCCACTTTGTTTCACTACAAACCTGGGGACAATGCACAAGTCTGGTGTTGTCACAGTGAAACAGGTAACAGAGCTCAGGACATGCCCTTGCCAAGTCCTGTTTCATTTTTCATCTCTCCCTAAACAATGCAAAAAGTTAAGTGTGCTCACACAACAGCTCTCTGTTCTCACAGACAACAAGACAATACGCTGCATGACTTTTTCACTCAGTTCACAATTTTATCAGAAAAATTTCCTGTTACCGAGTTAGAATCAACAAATTGTTTTGTAGTCAGATGTACTATACTCAATCAACCCGAAACCCAGAGTGATTTCACATTTATGTATATCAAGAAAAACCTGAAATTCAATTTATGTTAAATTAAAATCTTAGCATGAGCTTACCTGGGTTTGCTTTTGACTTTCACTTCTCTGGACTTGTCACTTAAAGTCTTCAGCCTATAATTCAGCAAGCATAAAATATATTTTTATAGGTTAGGAGACGTTCAACCAGAAGTTTTTACAGCTGTTACAATTCTTGGGACCAGAAGCTAATTTTTTCAAAACAAGTATTAACCACCTGTAAGGCAACAAATATCTGAATGTTTACTATATGATTTTCCATAAAAGAAAAATCAGTAACAATTTTTATTTTTACTTTTCCAAAATCTCTTTAGAAACAACTCCTAAATGTCAGCAAAGATAAATAAAACCCTTAAGTTCTCTGCGCTGTGGTTTGTGTCTCGATGCGCTCTGCAAAACTTCACAGTGGCTGGCCTAGAGTACGTGACACTGGAGCTGATTCATGGGGCAATGCTAGGATCAAGGGCCCTAGGGGTAAGAGTGTGGATGCTGCTGCCCTCAGTAGCCTGGGTAAGATATAAAGGACAGAAAGAGCTATGATTCACCATTAAAATGAACACAAAATGAAAGCAAGCAAGCGAGCTGTCTTCAAACCCCTTGTTCCTTTGCTACCTTCTGCTCACCATGGGCTCCTCCTCCTCTGCGATTCCTGTGTGCCATCCACCCTGCCTTAGGGCCAGGTGATGATGGCCTGGAACCCTTACAAACCATGAGCTAAGTAAGTCTTTCTTTTTTAAATTTTGAGTGTTGGGCATTTTATCTTAGTAAGAAGAAAACTAAGATAATCTGATATCATTAGAAAAAGTAGTTTACATAAGTGAACTTGAAAGGTAACAGAGACACACACACAAAAATAAAGCAACATAACTTAGTAAATACACACTATCCCAGACATTCAAATATCTTTAAGCAGCTATGCTTTTAAAGCATTATTTTTATTTTTATTTTTATTTTATTTATTTATTTGTGTGTGTGTGTGTGTGTGTGTGTGTGTGGCCAGCTCAGCCCACCAGGGGGCGGGGCTGGCTGGCATGTGGTGCTGGGGGATTGATCCACGGTCCCTGTGTTTTGCTAAGCTTGTTCTAAGTAGGTGCTTTAGGCCACTGAGCCATCTCACCAGCCCAGAAAGCATTATTTTTAAAAAGCTTCTTACAATACACTGCAAATTTTTCCCATTAAAAAGATCTGAAATGTGGCCCATTCAACATGAAGCCTGGGCTGTTATAAACACCTGTCTGCACCTTGCTTTGCAGCCAGACAGCCTTCCTCAAATACCTTGATCTACAACTTCATTTGCTAACCTGAATCCAATCTCTGGTGGGTCCGTGTTTATTTGGGCATGTGTGTCTATTTTTTCCAAATTTTGTCTTTGCTATTGGTCAGCTGGTTGGTTGGCTTCTGCTAGCTATTTGCTATTTGGTACCAGCCTCCTTCCTATCTATATGCTGGGGGGGGGATTGTTTTGCTTTAAAGGATTAGACTAGAAAGCTCTGTTTTATTGTGCCTGCAGTTTTAGCACTCAGGCAGCCACCGAGGCAGGAGGATGGCCGATTTTGAGGCAAGCCTGGGCGACAGGCTAGTATGAGCTGCACAATGAGATCTTAACTCAAAACACACACACACACACACACACACACACACACAGGATTACACTAGAAAATATAAATCAGCTACCACTACACATATAAAATTCACAGGCTCTTCTAAACATAAAGCACAATGTTCACAGACTGCACTCTATTTTCATTTCACTGGCTCAGTCTTCAGTTGGCTGTAGACCCTTCCGATGACAGAGCTTCGCAGTAAGTGAATGAGACTGTGCGATTGGAGACAGCTCAGCAGTCCTCGTTCATTTAAATTAAATCAACAAACACCCAGATCTGTTGCAATGGCGCTCCTTCCTCAAGACACTGTAAGGCCTTCAGCCAGAACCTGTTCTAAGGTACGAGCCTCCTCTCGAATGGACGCCTCACCCCTGCACTGCGCATGCACACCCTGCCACAGGATTCTATCGTCTGTCTTTGGTGAGCAGTGCCTGGCCAAGCACAAGAAGGGAACCGAATGTGTTTAAACAAATTGGAATTCCTATTTTGTACAAAGAATTTCATAAAGTATTGAGATTAACTTCTCTACAATCCTCAAAAGATTCAGCAATTCTTCAGTATAGATATATACCTCTCTAGATGAATCTAGGACTTACATAAAAATTTCATCCATCCCAGACAAACAATATAAATTTCCAACCTTATCTTAGAAACTAGCCAATCCAGTTTAAGAATTAAACAAAAGCTATGGAAAGATATTTTTATAGCAATACTCTACAATTTCTACTGCAAAATCTGAGAAAGGAATCCAATCACTACATGTGAGATTAAGAACCTTCCCAGGATAGTGGCACACAGCAGTGCACCACAGGCAAACTGCGCCTAGGATTCAGCGCTGTGAGACTCTACACCGGTGTGAAAGGGAACCGCTAAGATCCTTTCTGGACATTCTTATCATAGAAGCTAGCAAATCTCTAGGTTGGCATTTCCAGTACGTGTTTCTAAAATAAACCTGTGATTTCCCAATTGCAACAGACCCAGTCTGGGACTTCCTCTTTCACCACCACCACCACCACCACGTCCACAACAAAACAAAAGGGAAAAATAGTTTGGAATAATAGGAGAAAGGACACTACAGGAAGCTGAAATAAACATGGTGTAAGATTCAGTACGAGCTTCCCCACGTGGCTCCTTAACAACCATCTGTTTTAAAAATTGGACTTTAACCAAATGTAATGTGTGGAACTTACTTGATGTGGATTTGAACAAGCCAGCTATAAAGACACTTCTAGGAACCAAGGAAATCTCATTATGGACTGGGTAATTGATCAGATCAAGGAATTAGTATTTAATTTTGTTAGCTGTGATACTGGCGTTGCACTAATGCAATAACTTCTTATCTAGCAAAGCAAATGGGTGTACGAGAGACAAGTATGAGATTACTTTATAAATTAAAGGAAAGAAGGCAAATGTGGAAATAGCTGACAATGGCCTTATCTGAGTACTGGAGACATGGGATTCTAGTTTGGATTTCTGTGTACGTTTGAAATGTTGAAAATAATTTTTAACAACAAAAAGTCTTTTGGATACTTCTTTTCTCACACCTCCAAATAAACTGTCAATATGCCAAACCAGAAAAGAAACAGTGAGAAGACAGAGAAGCTCTAGGGAAACTGGAAACCAGCACAAAAGTGCAGGGGAGAAAAGGACATACGGTTACAACCATTACAATCCTTAAGATGAAAAAAATGAGGCTAGGTATACTTTAAAAGAAAGCTTAAAAAAAGCAAAAGGAATACATTCTTCAAACCCGGAAATCAAATGAAAGTAGTGAGCTGTTTTATTTTTAACTTTTTTTCCTTTTCTTAAGACAGGGTCTATGTAATCCACTCTAGTCTAGAACTCACTGTGTTGACTAACCTTGAACTTCTGCCAATCCACCTGCCTCAGCTTCCCCAGTACAGCGCTGGGATGACAGGCTCCTGTCACCACACCCAGCAGTCTATTGTTTTTCTTCTTCTTCTTCTTCTTCTCTTTTCTTTTTTTTTTTTTTTTTTTTTTTTTTTTTTGCGGTACCAGGGATTGAACTCAGGATCTTGCACTTGTCAGGCAAATGCTTACTCTACTGAGCCATCTCCCCAGCCCTGTTTTTCTTCTGACATGAATTTTAGGCTTTTCACACTGACCCTTTGCTGGATACTCACCTACAGTCTATTCAGTGACCCACCATGTCATGACACACTAGAAAGGAAATACTGGCCTGGTGGAAGACACCACTTTTCTTGACACTTTAAAGCCTTCAGCCAGAACCTGGCAGCCAGAACTACCACAAAGTGGTGGTGCTACACTCAACCCTAAAAATCTGCCAAGAATTAAATAAAATTCTTAATATGAGTTTGGTGGCATTCTAGGAAAACAGTGTTCATTTAAAGGAAATGTATAATAAAAATTATCACTATAAAACAGGCTGAGCCACTTGAAATAAAGAGGTTACTAGTGCACTAGTAAGCAGCTTCCCTGCCCAACTCCTATCCTCTTCCTAACATCGTAAGCATTACTACCATAGAGACTTGGGTGAGTCTGACTATTTATTTATTTATTTATTTATTTATTTATTTATCTGCGGAACCAGGGATTGAATTCAGGCCCTTGCGCTTTCCAGGGAAGCGCTTATTCCACTGAGCCATTTCCCTGGCCCTGACAATTATTTTTAATGACAACTAATGCACTTTCAGGTTCAAAGCACTAAACCTCAAATTTATTTTAACAGTTCAATAACTTTATTTTTAGATGGCTCTGAAGATGTACCTTAATTTGAAAGCAGCATATTTTACTTCTTCAAGCTCTGGAGAAAACACTAACATGGAGGCCAGTTACTAAGAAATGAAGGTGATTTGAAAAATGTTAAGAGATGGTGATACCTGAAAGCAGCGACTGACGGCCTTCTAGCTGGCTCAACCACAGGGGGTGGTGTGCTTCTGCCTTTATTGCACCTCAACTTCCAACTGCCCACATCATCAGCTATCAGGAAAACTGAGGATGAGTGCTTTAAAGTACCACAGAAATATATGAGCTGCCATATTCTGTCATAAGACACAATTTCTTTAAACTATGTTCATGCTTCCATTACTTTAACCTTAAACAGTTTATAAATCCAAATCCAAGCTATTACATTTTCCACATTACTATTTATCAATTCTCTCTCTCCTCCCCTTCTCTCTCAAAACACAAAAGCATTAATCACAGGCCAAAGTGAAAATAACCCCTAAAGCTCTCAAGCCTGAGAGATTAATATAAAAACACCCTGACTCAGAAAAGAGAATTTAGTCTGTCTTTCCCCTAATTAGTCCCAAATACACCGCTTCAAGTCTGACCTCTCCCCTGAATGTCTTCAATTTCCAACTGCCCTGATGGCAAGCTCACTGTCAAACATTTCTTCTCCTTCAAACCACACTTACTGTTCTCCGTTGCAGCGTGCCTGTCATTTATCTAAAATACTCCCACACCAGCATTCCCGGTTTCTGCACCTTCGTCTCGCACGCCTCACTGATGACAAAGTGGCCATGCTCAGCACATCCCTCCTTCTTCTATCAGCACGCCCTCCTCAGGAACAGCACTCCCTCCTCGGCTGCTACCTGGCCCCCACCACGGCCTCACCTCCCTGTTCCCTGCCTCTAACCTTCTCACACTGCCTCCCAAGCTACTCTTACAGAAACACAGCCATAGTTCTCCAGAAACACATGTAGGCCTCTCTCCCTTGGCCTGAGTTTTAGCCACCGTACTCACAACCTTCAAAGATGCTCCCCTCCTGCCACTAGGATGAGTGCAGGAACCCAGATGCTGCCTGGTTGTACTTGGCTAAATCCCTAGCAGCTAGAATAGTGACTGTCACAAAACAAGCACTCCATAAATATTTGATAAATTCATTGCAGTAGTTAAGCAAACCAATAAAGTTGCTCTACTATCAGTATGAATTTCTTCGCAGCCTCATCTATGAAATGCCCTGATCCAAATCCACCACAATCTCTCCCACTTCCTCAGGGCCCAGATTAGAAGACCCTTCTTTTTTGAAGCCCACGTAACCCATCCAAAGTACGGGCTCTTCCCTCCCGGCTCCCACAACCCACCCCTGCTAGCTCCAGCACGCACTTCCCTCCACTCTGAGGAAGATGTTTCAGTCAACAGAGCGCCCTGCGATCCAGGCCAATATGCACCCACTGAGTCAGTGGTAAAGAGAACTCAGTGTACAGACTCTCAAACCCTGAAACTTCTCAGAGAAAGGACACTGCTGAGCACCTAATGTAGTGTCTGGCACTTAGCTTGAATTCAGAAAATCTTTATTATTCCAGGTTGACCACTAATGGGCTTCCCCTACTCATTAAAAAAGAAAAATTCTGGAAAAGTCAACATTTCAGGTAAAAACACCACACTGTGAATTCAATTAACGGATCCTCTGTGCAGGTTTTGACATTATGTGAGTGGAGGAAAGAAAACAAAGATTCTAGACAAGGGTGGAGATTGGGGACAGTGGTAGTTTTGAGAGGGCAATATTCACTCTTTACTTGTAAAAAATAATAGATTATTTCATTCTTAACCACGGGAACCGGAGGTATTACAAACAGTAAATGCCGGCCTGTGATAGGCAGCTGTGACTCTTTGGTAAATCTCATTTTCAGTTCTCTGCAAAGCTTTGTGTGCCTGAACACCTCTGTCTTGAGGCCTCTGGTCATAACTGCCCAAAGGTAAAAACTGAAGACACAAGTGAATGTGAAGTATGGGATTTCATACGCTCAGCTTCCCTCAGAGCTCAAGCCAATCTCTAAAAAATTGGAAGCTGTGAGTGAAACCTCCAAAAGGTTCCCATGAATCGAGTCAAGTCACATGAGGACTCAGTGAGGGGAAAGGACTCAGTGCAAGACCAAAGCCTGCCAGTTCCAAGGCCTTTGGGCTGACCCACCATCCATTTCAGGGCAGAAAGAAGCATGTGACATAATCACAGTAGTAAGTTTGTTTCAGTGGGCTGGGGAGACAGCTCAGTGGTCTAAGTAACTGCCTGCTAAGCACAGGATCTGGGTTCAATCACTGGTAATGCATGCTGTACCAGCTGAATCCCAGCAGCATAGTGAGAACCTGAATCAATAAGCATGGGGGGAGGGGCACAGCCAAATAGCTCAGCGGATTAAAATGTCTGCAAGCAGGTGCAGGGGCTGAGGGTTTGATCCCTAGGCCCAGGGGTGCGCTGAGCCAGCAACTGAGACTGGGTGTGGTGGTGCAAGCCTGTAATCCCAGCACTTGGGAGGCTGTAAAGAGGAGAATCACTACGAGTCTGATCTAGCAGTGAGACCCGGAACACCCTGTAGACCCTTCCCTAAAATTAGGCTGTGTGTGTGTGTACCAGGTCTCACTACACAGCTCAAACTCGTAATGATCCTCCTGTTTGCAGCCTCCCCAGCACTGGGATTACAGGCGTGCACCACCACACTCTGACTCAATGGCCAGCTCAGTGCACTGGGCAGGGCCAGTGAGCTTGTGGTGTGGAGAATCGAACCCCAGTCCCTGCCTACACTTGCCTAAGCAGGCGCTTAGTCCACCGAGCTATTTCGCTGGCCCTATAAATAACGTTTTTAAAAAATAGGTAAGTTTGTCTCAGTAGAGATGAAATTGTTACTATGAAGAAGAGTGTACAGAAACTTTACAAAGGGCCTGGGACGCAGCCCCACAGCAGAGTGCTTCCCAGCACATACAAAGGGCTGGGCTCAATGCTCAGCACTTCAAATGCCAAAAGCCACATGTCCCTAGGCCATGTGAAGCCTAGGTGCCAGGCCACCAGGAACCTACCCCACAAATGCAAACAGCACCTTACTTTTATTTGTTTGAGACAGGGTCTCCACACGTAGTGCAGACTGACCTTGAGCTACCAGATCGCAGGCTGGCCCTGAACTCCCGGCAATCCTCCTGCCTCAGCCTCCCAAGTGCTGGGATTTTTATTCCATTTTATTTCTAAGTAAGAAAGTTACTGCGTTCACTGAGCTAATTTTAATCACTAAGGTGATGTGCTGTTATGAGACCGATAAGGAACAGTCCAGTTTCACCTGGAAGGGAGAAAGGGCAGGAGGAAGGGAAACTTACTGTTTTCCTAGAATTAAGTTCTGGATACATGAACTTTCAGAAAGTGAAAATGAATGACACAGTGAGAAGAGGATGTTGCTCTGTGTAGCTGTAGGAGCAAAAGCAGCCATGCTGAAAGAACTCAGAAAATCACAAGGCCATCAATCAACTGCTCGGGGCAATCTGAACACTGGATAGGTAAAACTATTTTAGAAGGCAGCTGTGCTGGCTAGTGAGCACCTGCTCTGCCAGAGTCCTACAGGACCACCAGGTCCAGTGTGATAGTTCTGGAAGTCTCCTGCCTCAGTACCTCTATAACACATGAATACTGCATTTAATTTCTTTTTTTGCATTTAATTTCATCCTTCCTCAGCAAGGAAACATACTCAAATACGTAGCACAGGCTCATCATAGCTGAATATGGTAGCATTTGCTAAAAGGACTAATTTTTTTTTTTTTTTACTTACTAAGAATCATATAGGAAACTGAGGGCCTGCAGTGAACATCAGAGTTTAGAGCTGTCTACCAACCAGAGAACAGACAGTACTTGGAGTTTTTCCCTGCCAGGCCACATACTGACTGTTGGGTGGTCTGTCAGCTAAAAGTGGTCAGTTTAAAAAAGGAAGGCAGCAGAGGACCTGCATGGCATGAAGTCTTCTCAGGATGTATAATTTCAAACTGGTCCCAGACCATGGCTTTTTTTTTTTTTTTTTTCCTGGAGGAATTGGGCATTGAACTCAGGCCCTTGCACTTGCCAGGGAAGCACTTATTCCACTGAGCTATCTTCACGGCCCCCAATGGCTTCTTTAAGAAGTCAGTTTCTGAAGCTTTCTGACCAGACAGATCCTCAGCCCCTCCTTCCTGAGTAAACCCTGAACCTTTACAGCTACCCAGACCTCCCAGGTCCGTTTGGGCCTAGCCCAGAGTCCAGGCTCCTGGGGAGCTCCAAGGGATGAAGCATTCTTACCCAAAGTTCAGGAGCCCAAGGGGTTCTGAAGCAGCCATCGGACCTACAGAGTTACAGCAACTAACCAAAAAGGGGCCCTGCCACCCAGCAATTCCTCAAGCAAGGGAAACCAGTGTACTCTGATGGGCTACTTCTAAACTTCTAGGAAGAAAACTGCAAGCACATGCATCAATGACTCCCAAACTTCCAAATTTATACACACATACAAAATTTTTCTGATACTAGAGACTGAACCCAGGGCCTTCACACTGAGCTACATCCCTTGCACTTTATTTTGCAACAGGGTCTGGTAAAGTTGCCCAGGCTGCGCTGAACTCGCCACCCTCCTGCCTCAGCCTTCCACGGTGCTGGAATTACAGGCATATGTATCCACACCCAGCTCACTGTTGACATTCTTAACACCACCAAACTAAATGACCACAGAGATTTTATACGTGATAAGCACTAAAGCATTTACCGGTTTGCTACCACTTAACAGGCAAACGCTATAAATGCTTTTCTTAAGTAAAAAGTTTTCGCATTTTTCCTGACAGAAATTTAAAACAGCATGACTGAGATGCCCTCCCTGTGCTAAAGGATTTGTAAACCAAAGGTGACAGAACACTTACAAAGGCGACACCTTTCTAAAGTAACAGAAAAAGTGAATTAAGCACTAGTAACAGTAACGACACCGTGCTTGCTGCCCATTTTCCGTGTTCACCAATCCTTCCCACGGCTCCTTTAGGACCACCATGAGCCTCATCTTAAGCTGCAGCAACAGCGACATGCAGACAGTCCTAGTCACCTGCAGAAGTCTGACGGCACCGAAGTGAACAGCGGGGCGGCCTGGCGCCGGGCCTCGCGGTTCCCCAGCTCGGCCGCCGCTGCAATCCCCCGGCGGGAACCTGAACTCCACGCCGGGAGAAGCTGGCTCGCGGGCCGTCGCGCGCGAGACGCGCGCTGGGGATTGCGCAAGGCCGAGCGGAAAGCGCCGGGTCCCGGGCGCGCACTGCCACCCTCCAGCGCTCCGCCCGCCCAGCTCCGCCCCCAGACGCCCAAGCAGGGCAGCGGCGCGGGGCCGACCGCCGGGGACCGCGAGCCCGCAGGGGTCCCGGGGCGCGGGGGCGGGGTCCGGCGGAGCGGCCGGAGGGCGCGGAGGGGCCCAGCACCCCGGCCCCGCGAGCCACAGCCACGGTGACACCGAAGTTACTTTGCGCCGGGCTCACCGACGCCGAGAAGTTCTTTACTTCGCTCGGCGGGGCGGGACGCGAGACGCGGGCGCGCAGAGCAGAAGCCGCGCCGCCCGGCCCTGCGCTCCCGCCGCCCGGCCCCCGGCCCCTTCCGCTCGCCCACCGCGTACCCACCCGGAGGTGAAATCCTGCTGCACGCTCAGCAGCCGCTCGCGCAGGGTCTCCAGCATCGCCGCCGTCCACGCCGCGTCGCCTCGCCGCAGGCCTCGCGCTGTCACCGCCTCTTCGGCGTTCCTCGGCGCAGCCGGGCCAGCCCGCACCTGCCGCCCCGCGACCGAAGGCCCGGCCGGCCCC